TCTCTTGAGAGGCTTGGCTCCTGCCACACAGAAGCGGTAACTGGTGGAATCCACAGTTAGTGCAACAAAACCTTCCACACGTCATCCCCTTTCTACCTCTCTTCCCTCTTCACGTTTTCCTCAGGGGCTAGGGAAGGAGGTGTAAGGAAATGATTGTGGATGAAGAATGTATACACTCCCTTTCTCCACCTGACACTGCTCCTACACACACACATACACACACACACACACACACACACACACGTACCCTACACCCCTTTCTTTATCTCCAGGAATATCTAGTTCTCATAGAAATGTAAAAGAATTTCTCCACCTAATGAGCACAAATAAATAAAACTAACTTTTAACTAATTTGTTAAGTTTAAAACTAGGGAACAAGACAAAAAAACATTTGTGCCAAAATGGAAAACTCCTTTCTAGATAACTCCTGGAACAAAAAGGAAATCAAATCAGAAACTGGAGAATGCCTCAGAAATGCTGATGATAAAACACTACATAGCAGAATCTGTGGAGTAGAGCTAAAGCAATGCTGAAAGGAAATTTTGTATTTATGTTAATAACAAGGAATTAAGTACTTGATTCAAAAAATTAGAAAATGAACTACAAAGGAAACCCAAGAATAGAGTAAAAAAAAAAATTATAAAACCAAAACTAGAATAAAACCAGTAAATCAATTCAAGAATAGGGACTCAGTGAAATGGACCTTTGCTAATCTTAAGAACAAAAGAAAGCAAAAATACACTCAACAGAAAAAAGAATGGGAAAATAATCACAATGGCAAAAGAAATATAAACAATGATAAACGGAGCTCTAGACAAATACAAAATCTGGATGAAATGTGTGATTTTCCAGAACTGACTCCATAAGAAAGAGGGGGAAAAAAAAAAAAACATACTTATGAATTTCCAAAGACTAAAGGAGAAACCTGTTAAAGAGCCATTTCCTAAAATCTGTTGACTTGTATGAAAATTTTTCTTTCTGTTCTGTTGAGTTTAAATAACATTTGAGTTAATTGTTCCACAGTGGTTGGATAAAATTCAACTAGGAAACCTAATGTGGGGCTGATGACTTTTAGGGGAGGAATTCTATGATAAAATGCCATCACAAGTAAGTGGGGAGAAACGGAGACTATTTGAATAATGGCATCAGGACAACTTGGAAAAAAAATTCGTGCCTTGTTACATCAAAATATATGAGAGATCAAAGATTAAAATATAAACAAATTATTAAAATATTAAAATAAAATATGGAAGAATGATTCTGTAATCTCAAAGTATGAAATATTTCCCTAAGTAGGACACAAAGCCCCTGAAACTATTTTTAAAAATTAAAAAATTAGAATATATAAAAGTCAAAATGTCCATATAAAAATACACCATAAACAAGATGAATAGAAAAACATTGTGTGTGAAAATATTTATAAGATGCATAAAAGACAAATGATTAATTTCCTTAATACTTAAGTCCTAAAAATCAAGTTTTTTAAAAATTAAAGTGCACATTAGAAAACTATGCTAATCCAGCCCTAAATGAGAAACTCCAAGTAGCTCTTCAACACGTGGTGTGATTCTCAGTCTCATAAGAGACATGCAGATTTGGATCAGCATGTGCTGGTTCTACCTATCAGATCAGCTTGGTGTAACACATACGTTAGTGTTTGCGGAGCTATGTGTTGGGCCATATATTTCTAAGTGGAAGTTGAGTGCAGCTTCTTTGGGTGGCAATTCATTAGTAACCAGCAAAAATTTAAATGACCTTTTAACCCAGCAATCCACTTCTAGATTATATTCAAACTTGTGTAAAATTGGTATTAACAGTTGATTGTAATAGGAATGGAATATCTTGAGAACAACCTAGATAGCCATCATTAGGGAAGTAGTTGGATAAAACATGGATTATCAATTATAGAATACCATACAACATTAAAAAAGAATGAAACTGCTCTTTCTGTCCAAAGTATAATGGATAAGTTCTGAAATATATTATTATATGGGAAACAGAGTAGGATGTGTAACATACTACACTTTTGTAGGATTTTTTTAAGCCCACAAATAAAAAAACTAGCACATTGAAACAGCGTGGCTCATGGAGTAAAATCACAAAGCAACTTGATTTTGTCTCCCAATGACCCATTAAAATGTACTCAATAGGGAAGGTCTCCTGCGTCTGGATGAAAATTCTGTTCCATGATTTTTCTGATCACTTGTGAATTACACAAAGTCTTGCATCACTTCAAATCACCAGCTCAAAGTAAATAATTAAAATGGCCCGCCCTGTGTCACAAAGCTGCCAACTCCTGGTTCCTGTTGTACCCCTTCTCCCAAGTGAGCCTGGCTGTCTCCAGGTCAGTTGTGCTTCTCCTTATTCGTGTTGTTTCTAACCATTTCAGGGTGAGGTGAGAGAGGTGTGGACTGCCTTTAAGATGGCTTTACACTCCCTAGATCTGATAGGTGTTTGAAACTGACCTTTTTATTCAGGGATAGTGTGACCAACTTGCCCAAGTTACCTAGACCTTTCCAGTTTTAACATGCAAGTCCGTGTCTCTGAAATTCCCTCAATCCAGGTCAGCTGGGATAGTTGGTCACCCTACTCAGGGGTCACTGTTGTGGCCTTTTAGTGGCATCCCTTCTGGCAGTGGAGATATCTCACCTGCTTTCCTTTGATGTGTGTGGAGCAGTCTCCTTATACATTCCCTGCTCTTCCTCCTGGAAAACTTGCAGTCAGTCTACCTCTAGTTTCTAACTGCCAAGGTCTCTTGTCCACCTAGAGAGATTACTGTGCATGAGTGAACACACACTCACTGTCCCTCTCCATCCCCCCCCACCCTCCCTGTGTCTGTGGCCCAAGTCGATGCATGAGGATCACTCACACATTCTTTCTCTTGACAAACTCTTGAGTTTGCAGACCCAAGTCACGTGACCTACTCTTGTATGGTTCCACTGTCAGTAGCCAGCCCATCTGTCCTTGCGGGGTCCTATCTGAGACTGAGACACTGCTATTGTTATCAGTGTCTGTCAGTGCGTAGGGCCGCAGGTCGACCTCCCAAAGTAGTTCCATGGAAGGTTCTCTCAAGGCCTGAGGTAGGTAGGAAATGGGATGCACTGCATTGCTCTCTCTGAAGACATTATCTTCGCAATGACAGATAAAGCTCACTTTCCTTTTTTTACCATCAGCCTACCATTTTATATCTTCAATGTGGGTATGAAATTAAGGGTCATGAAACTGGATTCTCAGTATTTCCTTTGAAGATTTATATTTTGGTATGGCACTCAGTTTGGTATCTGGTAGTCTAATAGCTATCATCTTAGGGTCTTGGCTGAAAGTACCATTTTAACGTGCTAGTTCTGTGCTTTCCTATGCATGGAAAAGCCCTGGAAGGATAGTAAGACATAGTCACTGGCTTCAGGGTGAGGAAGTAGCTGGCCGAGAAGGAAAGGGAAGACTTTTCACCACTTGCATGTCTATACCATTTGCAACACTTACATGTATATACTCTGCATATATTACTTAGATGCAGGCCTTATTACTAAAATTACCAAATTTTGAAATAATGCTAAATCAGTAATAATGAATGGAAGTGGTTCTATGCAGGACTGGATGAATCAGTAAGACAGGATGGAAAGTACTGGAACAAGCCTTTTATGCTCTCCGTGAACTTACTATATCATGAAGGTGAACTTCAACTCAACAGGAAGGAATGGATTACTTGTTAAATTGTGTCTCAGCAACAGGCCAACCGTTTGGAGAAACAGAAAGTTTGGTCTCTCACTCATCCCTAAACACAGATCAGTTTCAAATAGATTAAAATTTTGAATGAAAGAAGTGAAATCATGATAGGAACAGTTGCAGATACAACTGAACAGTGTTATAATCTTGACGTGGGAAAGGACATCCAGTATGATACCAGTAGAAAAGGAGAGGTTCGATGATTAACTACATAAAAATTAAAACTTTCAAAATTTCCCGACATATAAATAACAACAGACATCATACACACTGAGAGAAAGGATCTACCAGGCGAGGTAGTATAGTGTCAAGAGTAGTTTGGTTTTGTGGTAGTGTTGCACAGGTGATTATAATTGTCCTCTTTTTCTTATTTCCTGGTTGTTGTTGTTTTGGAAATTAACATGCATTAATAATAACCGTATCTTAGCTCCCATTTAAAATAAGGTGTGGTACATTGGGACAGTGATAAGACTCCCTGTTGAAAGGCCATTTTCCCGCAAAGCATGGACTAAATAATGTCTGTTGATGTGAAAAGGAAATGCTTTACAGCAGGTAGTTCATCCCAGGGGTCCTACTTGCAGAGTTGCAATTGATTCCTTATCATGAAAAGGGCTGAAAATTGAATGCTTTGGTGCACTTATTTACTTCAAGCTGATGTTAACAGAACACCATCCACAGTGACATTAGAGACCGATTCTATTGGCAAACACGAAATGGGAAGCCTTGGTATAATAAGCAACACCCAACCGAATGCTGTCAGGAAGGGGGTTTATGTGCTCTAATTGATTTCTTTTCATGCCCAGGTTAAATTTTTTCTAATTCCAGCTGTTGAGAAAAGGGCAAGGCAGGTATTTTTAGCCAGAAGTTTCAGAGATAGAGAAATTATGGTGATTCTATTTCAAAAAGTCAACATTTTCAGTGATCCAAAGTTATAACACATACTGTAATCCACAACAGAATGGCACCCTGTGTGGTCAGGTGTACTACTAAGGACCCCAGAACGGATAGGAAGATACCACATTAGTAGTAGTGATAGTGACAGTCACCGAGTGCCTACCCTGTGCCAGGCACTGTGCTATATATAACCTCTAGCGAGAAGTAGCTTCTTTAAAAATAAGCTGCTTTATGAATTATTTTCAAAAAGGTAATTTCATAAAAATTAAAATTTTTAAAACTTCTCCAGTTCATCACATTATCCTGACAATTATTGCTCTTCAATACAAACATAAGTAGCAATTAATAAAGGTTCTAATACCTATTAAAATTTCCCTAAGGGCCACCGGGGTGGCTTAGTTGGGTAAGTGTCCACCTCTTGATTTCGGCTCAGGTCATAATCTCAGGATAGTGAGATCGAGCCCTGCATTGGGCTCCATACTTCGCATTAAGATTCTCTCTCTCCCTCTGCCCCTCCCCCACTCCCTCTTTAACAAACAAACAAAAAATTTCCCTAAAGAGGTTTTGAGATATAAGCGAAGATCTTTGGACTGTTTTTCCATAGTAAAAAAGAGTCTATAGCAGAGTCAAACTCTTCGATTTTCACAAGCGGCCGAGAGATGACAGTGACAATGATGACAAAGGCCAGTACTTACTTGGTCCTTACTGTATGTCAGGCACTATTCTGAGGGTTTTACGTATGTGGATTGTTTTAATCTACCCAGCAACTCTGTGAGGAGTTAGATGTAGTCCCTATATTTTTTTTTAAGATTTTTTTTTTTTTTTAAGTCATCTCTCACCCAACGTGGGGCTTGAACTCACAGCCCTGAGATCAAGAGTCGCATGTTCCACTGACTTAGCCAGCCAGGTGCCCCAGAGGTATTCCCTATTTTAAGGGAATGAAACTGAATCCTGAAGAAATTTTAAAACTTTTCCAAGATCACACAGGGAGTGATTCACAGTGCTGGTCATTGAACCCAGACAGTCTGGTTCTAGAACTCTTACATAGCACAATGTGCATCAGAGTCTGGCCTCCCTAGCCCGGATCCTTTTGCAGAGGGCTGCTGGGGCCACAGTATCAGACTGTAGAAATAGGCCTGCATCCTTTTACTAGCAATTATCTGAAAGAATAACTGTAACAATTACTTGGGCAACATCAGCCCTGCACACTATTAGGGAATTAAACAAAAATGAGGGCGTTTCTAAGTTGCCAAGAGAATCACCTTGGGGTTTTCTTATGTGTTGCTACAGGACACCTGCCTAGAAGGGCACGGTCCCTTGGATACTCCCTTCCTCCTGTAGAAAGCCAGAGTTTCACTTTGTGTCATTGTTCTTCCCCCGTTCTTCTCCAGGAACACTGCTAAGTCCATGGAAAGTTGTGACTTTGCAAGTCAGACCTGGTTTCCAATGCTGCCCCCCCCCCAATTTAGGAGCTCTGAGACCTTGGGAAAGTCACTTAATCTCCTTAAGTCTCAGTTTTCTCATCTTCAAAATGGGGATAATGCATACCTACTTCCCAGAGTTGTTGAGAGAGCCACATGAGATGCCATGTCTGGTACAGCAACTGTACAGTCGTAAGCACTCCGTAATTGTGAGCTGCTAGAGTTTTCATCACCTTCTTCATCAACATCTTCATCATAATTAGCTACCACCTGCTCTGCTGTCATCATTCTTCAGCATTAAAAGGCTGTCATCCTTGCTTTTAATTTTTCACTACGGACAATGAGATGTTGAGACAGAAAACAAAGTATGCAGTTAGGCTATTGAATTTTCTATCTATAGCACCCTGTAAATTTGAACCAACAGGAAGGAAGGACAAGACAAGATGGTAATGAGGAAAGCCCTTCCCAGAGAGCATCTTCGTGGCCAAAGCTCTTGCAATAAATGCAAAGCACATAAGACGGAATGTCCCCTTATGTCACAGCTGAAAACTGTAACATAAATATTTTTGTCAGTTGGCTTTAGTCTACAGATGTTTTTGAGGATTTGTTGTTGAAACAGCCAATCCACTCCTGAATGAAAAAACTTTTGGCAGTACTCAAAGTGTCAACTAATTAGATCCAAATTGCAGCTGAACATTTTGAAATGTATGCATCGCCCACGTGAATACTGAGTGAATTTATTATAAATAGAATTTCAATCGCTGTGAAAGAAGGACACTCAATGGCACGGAAGTAAACTAATTTGTGAGCGTTTATTAAACACCTTATTAAGATCTCCCTTTACAAGGGACAGTGTATTGGAGTAAATGATAAGTATTCCAGCAGTGTGCTGAGGAAAGGTCCTGTGCATGGAAGTCAGAAAAACCACTAGAAGTTTGGTACTTAATGGACTGGATTCCAATTTCATTCCTTCATTAATTTTGTGAAGGTTAAAAAGTCACGTATCCATATCGTGTTACCTGGGCCCCCATCCATTGGGCCAAACTCCCCCTGCAAACGTTTTTTACAACTGAATTTGAATGACTTGAGGTGATGCCAGTCATACTCACTCGAGGTAATGGTTCCTCCGAGCTCAGTGGGCAAGCTCACAACCACACATTTGTGTTACTATCTGTTCTGAAGGTAATGAGTTAAATAGAGCCTTGACTTAGCCTTTGGTAATCTTGGTTTCTGCCTTTGGATAAGATGAACGTTCAGTGACCCATTTGCCAGAGTATATCACGATAAGTATTAGAGATGACAGAATTCTAGACTGATGGTTGATAAAAATAAAACAATTTAAGCAACCAAGTGGAAAAATCTGTCTGCTCTTTATGTAAAGAAAAACTTCATAGCTTTTAGAACCATCCAGCAATGAACCTGCCTATCCTGTTACTTAACTAGTGTCCCATCACTGGACCTTCTCCATACAGTGCCAGAAAACAATCAGCAAAGGATTAGAAGGAAGAGACTCTGGTATAGACTGGTAGATATTTTAGTTTCCTTAAGCTGCTGTAACAAAGTGCCACCAACTGAGTGGCTTAAAATAAGAGAATTTTTTTGTCTCACAGTTGCACAAGTCAGAAATCAAGATGGCAGCAGGGCCATGCTCTCTCTGAAGGCTCCAGTGAAGAATCGTATCTTGCCTCTTCATGGTTTATGGTACTTGTCAGAAATCCTAATCCTAATCCTAATCCTTGCCTTGTAGCTGGGTCACCCAATCTCTGCTTCTGTCTTCATGTGGACTTCTTCCTTCTGCATGTGACTGCAAATCATCCTCTCCTTATAAGGATATCAGTCATTGAGTTTAGGGCCCACCCTAATCCAGTATGACTCCTTTGATTACATCTACAAAGACCCAAATTCCATATAAGGTCACATTTACAGGTACAGAGGGTTAGGGGTTCAACCAAGGGTTAGGGGTCTGGGGAGAGCCCACAGTTTGACCCACAATGCTAGGTATGACTAGTTGGCTGATAGGAGGATCATACCTACTGTGAGACTCTAGAAGTTGATAATTCCTTCCTACCCAGATGATGACATTGGTTGGCCCAACAATTGTTAACTATCTCCCTTAGTACTAAACAGAATAGTATTACTTTCTTGGTTTTTGTTTTGTTTTGTTTTTTATGGATGTCTTGCCGATTCTTTAAGTCTTGTATTTATGAACAGTTGGGGAACCATAGAATGTTGCCTTGAGTCAGAGAACAAGTTGTTCATTACAGTGTCTTTTTAATTAACATTAAAGCTTATGGACCTCACTTTTGCTATGTATTCAGATATACAGATATACATTACCAGACTTGAGTTATATGTTGGATGTGGAATAGACTGAACTTTTAAGAATTTATTAGAGTTTTAATGATAGACCAGAGTGCAAACATTAGCCCTTTATTTGCCTTTAGAAAATGACAGACTGGTCTCACTGGTAAATCAGAAGGCAGTTTCATGGCTTAGACCTGCTACCCTATGCTAATCTGTATGTATCTTGATGGATAAATGTGGTGTTTTGGATGCATACACTTAAGTGATTTAGCATCACTCTTTTGTTTTGACAGGCAGTTTTTATATTTACTACACTTTGCTCTAGGGTTTCTCAACCTCCGTCTACTGCCATTTTGTGCTTGATAGTTATTTACTGTGGGAGCTGTACTGTGCATTGTAATATGTTTAGCAGCATCCCTGGGTTCTATCCACTAGATGCCAGTAACCCTGCCCTTCCCACATTTGCACCCTGCCAGTGTGACAGGCAAAAGTGTGTATAGACATTTCAAATGTCCCTGGAGGAGAGCGTGGTCAATACTGCACCCAGTTGGGAACCATTGCTTTGCCAAATTTTTTAAATGCTGAGTCATCACTTCTGAATCTGTTTCCTCCATCTACCCAAACCTGTGACTCAATTTAAGATTGAGCCATGAACAGAAAGATCAGTTAAGGTTTGTTTAATTCTCATACTTTTGAGTCTCAGGAATCCCTTTTAAAAATTATTGAGGAACTCCTTGAGCTTTTGTTTATGTTGTGTAATTTATCAATATTTACTGCATGAGAAGAAAAAACATTTATGTATTCATTGAAAAACTAAACTCATTACATGTTTATATAAATAGTGTATTTTATGGATATTAACTATTTTTTTCAAAAAAAATTAGAAGAATATCACTGTTAACATTGTTCTATTTCTTTGTCGTGTTGATCTGTGTTGTCTTGGTTGAAGTATATAAAGAAAATTCCACAGAGATATAGTGGAAAAAATGGAGGAATATTTTAATAGTCTTTTGAAGTCTTTCTGGATATTTTTCTTTCCTATGTCCCCAAACTCACCAAGGGAGTAGTTTCTTAAAGGTGACTTTGTAATGTTTAAATTATTTTGTTTGGGTCTTTTGCCCATGCATCAAGTCATTTGGAAAATACTGGTTCTCTGAGTTATGTGGTTCTTCTATGAATTTGACACATTTTATTATCAATTTCATTGTTTTAACATAAAAAGTCAATGATTAACATAACCACCAATCTCAAAGGCAATATCTTTAAGTATAGGATGTTGTCAAGCTCACAATGGTAGATAGGAGTCTTCTACAGTTCTAATTTCCCACTTGAAAGCTTGAATTTTGTCATTGGCAATAAATACTGCCAGTTGTGTCCCTTGAAGTGACAGACTCACTTCATTAATTTTGGAGAAAATGTCTGACAAATACTCAAGTATGAAAACAATAATGTGTCTGTCAGTCATTCCTTTAAATAAAAAAGTCTCCTGTGAAAATGGCTGTTTGGCTGGCAACCCATACAATTGGGCACTTTTCCTCAAAACAACCATCTTACTTCAGTATGCCACGAGAGAGTTTATTGTTCACTTCCTCTTTTGTCACACAGGATATATTTTAAAGTTAATAGTTGAGATTTAAGAAGAGTAATCATTTTGTTTGTTTTATCAAAGACATTCTTAAGTGAACCTTTTTTCTCTCACTGTCAGTGC